AAGAAAAAGCATCGGGAATTCTTAAACAAGATTGCAAATAAAAAAAAGACGGACATCTTTCAAAAGGTCAAAGATCTCTTAATGATGCAGTTAGATGATTAGTCAAATAGTTTGAAACTGATTTAGTAATTACTTTATAATTTTTTTTTCTCTCTCCATTGTACAATGTACGATCGTTCAGATATTACAAATTCGATAAATTTCATTGAAATTGCAATTTCACTGTAACGTGGAATATTTGTATCGATGAGAAGGCACTTTCCAAAAGATTTTCAAAGGGAATCAGCTGAGGATGAATGCACGAGGAAAGCGAAACTAATTCTGAAAGGTCCAGGGTCTTCAACTAATTCCAATGAAAAAAGTAATTCATCGTTTTGTGCAATGATATACGATAATCAACAGAGTGGAAGTTTCTCCAGAAAAATCGTATATTATATCCTATTTAAAGCAGCCAATACTTGAAATTAATTTTATCGAATCTAATTTTAGTTATAATTCCGCAATTAAATAATATGACGACCCAGGAGCATATTTTAGTCTGTCGATGAAAGAAAACGGAACAGACTGAGAAAAATTTATGCAACCAACAACGACTGATTGAGAAGCTAATTTTAGAAAATCGAGCCACCTCACAATATGGAAGAGATGTCTCAAAGTATAATATATCTCAAAGCTCAAAGTGTAATGAAATAATAAAGAAATCATGTTGCGAGCAGAGTAACCAGTCAGTACGTAATTCCACCTCGTAACTTCCCTAAATTAATAGCGACCTATCGACAATATCGAAACCTCTACAGTGCAATTAATAATGGGTCGAATGCTGGCCAAAGTTCTACACAGCGAGCCCTTTGAAACGGGAACTCCCCCCGTTATAGCTCTTCTGGGAGCCATTAAAACTTTGTTCGCATAATAAACGACAATATACAGGTTAATATCACGGCCTAACGAGAACATAATATTCGTACATTTTCTTGCGTGAATTCGAACACGTAAAATCATGAAAATTTCATAGAATAAAATCAGAGAAATAATCAAACAGTCCGAGCACGATTCTAATATTCGAAACGCAGAATACGCGGCGAAACAAGCTAACATTTCATGGAAATATGCTGAACAAACACAGCAAGCCCATAATTAACTCTCCACCGTGTATTTAAACGTAGTTTGGTGTAAAATGCGACTGGGAAGTTACACGTCGTTTTCCCGAGTTACATTAGTTTGAACAGAGAGATGAAACAGTAATAATTCCTTTTTTTTCTCTCTCTCTTTTACTTTAGAGAAGATACACGCAACTTTTGCAATTTAAATTAATAAACATTCAAAATAATAAACAATACAATCACTCACCCTATCTTGTTGATCAGCTTCCCATGAACGTGAAGATAAGAGGTGACGAATCGTTTATTCACCTGAAACATACAAAATTCAATTCAATGGTTTATTTAAAGATTCAAAAATATATTACTGAAACGTGATTTATATCTTGTTCTATGTAGACATGAGAAAGGAAAGGATGTACTAATTGAAAAGGAAGTAATTTTGTTCGTGTCGTTTTTACCTCGACGCTGCTTAATTGTGCCAATTCTTCTAAATCACTATGAGATAATCTCGCTTCATTGGCAGTGGCTGCAGTAGTTGTACGACGAACCCGTCTTCCACCAGGATGAATCCAAATTTCTCTCCTCAATCCTCCACCAATGCTGTTTGCACCTTCTTTCTCCTTCATCCTGGCCCGTTCCTTCCATTCCCTTTCCTCTTTCCGTTTCCGTTCCGTTGATTCATACTGTTAAAAAACATTACAATTGAATCCTGTGCATTATTTGTTACAAAATTAAGGACAGCGTAGTGCATAGCATAAATGAAGGTTCATTGTCTTCATGGAAATCCTATCAACTATCCTATTACATCTAAATTCTCTCAAATGCTAATGAAAGATACAAGCATTATATGTGTAAAAGCGTAAAAAGGCTCGTTAAATGTTTGTATCTTTCGGCTGCATCTATCTAAAAAAATATGCATGCTGGTATCGTGTGCGAAACAGCGCTCGTAACTAACAGAAATGGTGCTTTGATTTGTAAAAAATAATTCAGCGAAATGCAACATTCTCAAAAAATGTTCAAACTACGTGTTTTTCTTTTTCCTGTAAATATTGTCATTTCAAATCATTAATTACGCTCTCGGTTTTATTTAAGCATAGAATGATTGCCTTTTAAATAATTATTATGATTGTGCGAGAAATACTGATCTTGGTACACTGAATTAATAATCGTAAGCGTGCGAAGAGGCATGTGATGTGTAAAGAAAATTTATAAGAAAAATTCAATGCAAATAAAACAAAGGTATATTAGAAGTCTCGAAGATAAAGAGAACTACTTCAAGCTTTAGTTAAGATAACCAGTACTTAGAGATATCACACCAAGTATCGAAATTTACTTACATAATGTAGATACTGGCAGCAAAACAAAATCAAAATATTATTAACGTTAGTATTAATACAAACGTATAAGAGAATATTTAAATATTCGTCTTACCTTTTTCCTGTTTTCATCAAAAAGTGCTATTAAACTCTCTCTCGCAGACATGAAAGGATTAGATGCCATAAGAGATCTCATATAATAATATACTGCATCTAATTTCCGTCTCTGTAATCAAAATTTATGTTTAAGTTGTTTAATTTTATTATTTTTCTTTCTTACTTGTCGTACGTAATGTGAAAATACATACAGCATAATGTGCCAGTACTGCAAGCTGGTTATAAGGCCTTCCATTCTTTGGATTAAGTTGTTGTGCTTTCAAATACCATCTAAAAAAGAATTAAATTTTTCATAAAATTATTTTTATGGGATATATATAATAAAATAATATCTATTTATTTATTTATTTATTTTCTACTTACTGCCGAGACTTTCCGTAATTACTTGTTTCATTTGCCTGTTCTCTATATCTCGCCAAGTCACCCAAAAATAGATATATTTTTTGCGCACTTACTAAGGCTAAGCCTAAGATCCCAAGGCCCTTAGGCAAAGTTGGCGATGCAAGAAATGTATCTAATTTAAATTCGTATTTGGTTTCAAGAACAGTCAACAAACCCTCTAAATATACAGTACCATCATCGATAATTTTTAACATAATTTTTTTATAATGTTCTCGGCCTTCAGAATTTTCTTTAGGCATGCCTTTTCGCAGCATTTCAATCATATTATGAAAAAGTATTTTCCAAAAGTGTTGTTCAACATTCTCAGCTTGACAAAATTTAATATCAGTCTCAAGCAAAGTCTTTAAGCTTTCTTGTAGAAAGTGTCGTATGTACAAAACTCTCTCCCAATTTGTTGTAAAACCGCCAGAGCTTAGTATCCATTGCAATTCTAAATCAGCACGTTCTATATCCAAAAGTAAGTAAGGATTTTTGGCTAATCGGAAACTGTCAAACGAAAAATTATAAATTATTAAGTATAACTACAACTATCTTTATTTTTACTTATAATTTCCAATGTATATATGGTTTACATACCTATCAGAATAAGGATCGTACCACGAAGGTCTTATATTTCCAAATTGGTCATTTGTCATATATGGTGGTGACACACCATCTAAGTGTGTTCCCTGAAAACTATGATGGGTAGAAGTGATACCTCCATGGGATTGAAATACTGGTATACTTGAACCTTGAGATATAGTTTCACTTTCTCTGAATATAATAAAATCAATAAATCGATTAATTTTATTACCTTTTATAAAAAAATTAAGAAAAACAAAACATCTATTTTACATATTTACCTTTGTACCGCTGCTCTACTACTGGGCGAAGTAATAACTATTGGTTTATTAGGATTATTGGGATCAAATAACGTTCTTTGTTGTTGCACGCCCTGTTGCCTTGAAATTTGATGGCTAGGTGGAGATTGGCTAGTATCAGGTAACACTAAAACACCTGGTGGTTGAGAACCTGTATATCCACTAGGTGATGTTTGATGTGTTGTCAAAGCATTTGATAATGAGACAGAATGTGAAGAAACACTAGGTGTTTGTCGACCATCGTCAGAATCACAAACTGACATTTTTCTACCTGTTCTCCAATTTTCATCTAAATATCGATCAGAAGCTCTGAAAATCACGTATCAATAATTTTAATTTCTAATTTAGACAATATAAAATATAAGCATTTTAAAACAATTTATAGATACCTATGTCGATGAAGATCATCAAAGTTTCGATTACCCCCACGATAATTTCTATCTTTGCTAGATTCTCGGCTACGCTGTATAATATTACGATGTCTTCTATGATCATATCTCCTACTGTTCTTTTGATTATTATTATAGTTGTCATTTTCCCTATTTTGTTGATTATTTTGTCGATCACGACTATTAACACGAACTTTATCTCTACTATTACTCCTTGAAAAAAATTAAAAAATTAATTTTTATTCCTCGCAGATAAGTAAATATTGTAAAATATATAAATAGTATACTTCAAATATAAATTTTAATAATTCTTACCTCCCTCGATCTACCGCATGTTTCCTTTCACGCTTTTTTTTTTTACGTCGACTATGACTACTTGTTGTAGTTTCATTTCCTGATACATTAACATTTTCACGTAAACTCAGTACAGATGAACTACGACTTGCACGCTCAGCTTCTAGCTTCTCGCTTAATTCAACTTCTTCACTCCAGTCCTGTGTATTACGTATATATTTAAATTAAATTCTATACAAATGACACAAGTACATATAAATACATTTTAAATAAAATACTTACAAATGGATGTTCCGCTGATGTATTTAATGCAGTGTTGACAGATTCACATTTTGGTGGACTAACACTTGAATTTTGTTGATCGTTTTTCTTTTCTTGTAATGTGTTACGTTCAGATGTATTATTAGATCGTTCAGATGTATTACTAGATCGTTGCCTTTAAAAAAAAACCACAAAAACAGTTAATAAAGATATTTAAAAACTAAATTTATTTATTTATAAATAATCATTACGTTTGAGTGCGATAAGAAGTCGCAGACGGAGAAATTCCTCGACGATGGCTTTCAGGCGATGTTTGACGTTTGTTTATATTGGACACTGAAGTAACAGGCGATGCTGATGATGGCGGTGGTATCATTGAACTATCTACTCGACTTAAACTTTCCATACTAGTATACATAGTACTGTTACTGCCACGACGATCGTAAGATCTATATTTAATAATTAATTATATTAAATTATTATTATTATTTGTATTAATGAAGGTAATGTTAAAAATATAACAAAATACAATATATATTCACAAATTATGTTCCTAACAAACATATACCTTTGCATATATTCTTGGCTTGGCGTATGAGATCTGGAACTTGGAGCTGAATACTGATCAGGTGTAACACACCTAAAAATGTTTGTTGAACTTTCTAAGTCCTCTGGTTTAAGTCTACCTCTACCCCTAGTTCGTGGCGGTGCTGTATTAGACCAATTAATTTGTGGAGGTAATGGACCAGATGGAGGTAAATTTTGCATCGTTTGTGAGTGTTGCATTGCAGGTGGAAAATTATAATTTGATGGTGCCTTTAAACAAATAATTTACACTTAATAAAAAAACTCAATAAAATTTATTCAAATTTTATAAGTAAGATAATATTAATTTTACCTGGAATGAGATATTACTACTATTCCATGTATCTTCAGATGGTGATGAACTTGGTGGTAAAGGGAGGCCATTGTCCAAAAAATATTTTTTTTGTAATCTAGGTGGTAGGTGCTCTATTTTTATATTTTTCGGCAAACTATCTTTTGTACCACCCCATTTGCCTGATGGTGGTTTGCCTTGAAATTTTTCTGAATGTACTGTAGGTTCTACGCTACGTGTATCTCTAGTACGATTAAAATCATTTAAATGATTCGTTGTTACAAAAAGAGGTTCTGAACCCTAAGCAAATAAATATTTTAAATTATTTTTATGAAAGAATTATTTACAAAATGCAGTATTACTTCATATATTATTACTTCAGACCTGTCTAACTTCGCGAGAACTGTCTTTCCTAAATCCTCTGCTTGATAAAGGAGAATCCGACCGCCAGCGTTCTTCATTTTCATTACTATGGCGAGTTCTACGACTGCCGGAATATCTTTTACCATGCTCATCTCGATTTCTACTTCCACTTTCACTATCTCTTCTACCATGACCACTCGACCGATTACGTTGACTATCACTTTTATGACTACGATTGGAATGAGAATCACGATCTTCACTATGCTCTCTCTCTTGATCTCGATCCCAACCCCCTTGATTGGGAGATCTAAGAGATAAGGATAATATTTTTATTCTATTCATACTTTTTCATTAACAAAACAAAATTATTTTCTATGGGATTCACCTATTTGTTACATCCTGTTCAGCCAAAGCTTCTTTTACTTTTTTAGGAACATATAACTGTTGTTCTGGTTTTTTAGTTTTTCTTCTTGAATCTCCAGTATTACTATTTTGAGAAGAACTTTGTGCTTGTTCAATGTTTGTATTGCTTCTGTAGTTAATATTTAGATCATTTAATTTTTCTGTCACATTTTCAACTTGAGATGAAGGAGGACTATTTTGAGTTTGATTGGATCTATTGAGCTGTGACTGTTTTAAGCGATGTTGGACGGAGCTCGATTTAGATTTCTCCTGTGAGATATTTTCATTGTCTAAATCATCTGTAGATCTTCCTGATTTTCGAAGAGGTCCACTTCCTGGCCTATATAAAGCTTGAGATGCTCTATTGCCTCCACCTCGCATTCCTATTGATCTGTCCTTTTCTAATTTTGAATTATCTGAAAATATAATAATTTCACTTCTTTCAAAATAATTCATTAAATATTCATTAAATATTCATTGTTATTAATAATGGCAAATTTTAACATATTAAAAATTCATTTAAACATACAATTATATTTAACTTTGAACTTTACAAATTAATAAATATTTATCATTATGTATAGCATTATAATAAATGAAACTTGATATGTACACTACCATTAATAGTATTATTATTCAAACTAAAAGATATATCTGAGAAAAAATGTATTAAAATTACTAAATCTTGAACAATGATGATAATATTAAGAAAGAAAAATAAATAATTTATATCACAAATTGAATAACGAACAATATTCTTGTTTGTGAAGGCATTAATACTCTATATACAAATTACATATACAAGTCATAAAGAATTACTGCAAAATTATAGTTCAAGATATATGTATATTGTATCTATAATTTGAATAGTCTATATATGTTATTAAATTATAGAAATTTATTTATTTACAAAATTAAATATCGCTATTAGTTAACTAACACTCTATTAAATGCAGGAACTTAGTAATGCTTGTTGACACTCTTGACAGTAACTAAAATTATTATCAATCTATGAGAATCAGAAATAAAAGTTACATAATCTTCAATTATTTAAAATAAACTCAGAATTTCTACGAAAATCTAACAGAAATTATAATATATGCTAAATTTACTTCTTACTCTGGTTAAATTTCACAACATATCACAGCATAATTCCCGCTGTATTTTTAGGTTAGCTTGTTTGGTGAGGTTAACTCTGTAAATGTACCCAATGGAATTGAAAGGGGGCGTACATAGTTTATTAATTACATACACGCAAAATATAATCACGGGATTACAGATTAAGATATTTATATTATTCAGTGATATAATTTTTTTTAAGGTACCTTGTAAAAATCCTCCCCACTTTTTGCGTCCTTTGTCGTGGTTCGCCATATTGAAGTACAATCACATTCAAAGTTTTATAAATCAAAAAATTTAAATCTTTTTCTAGTCATGCATTTAGTTAATATAAAAATTCTAGAATGACTAATACAATAATCAATAGAATAACTTTTATATATTTCTTAAAATAAATTAGGTAACTTGTTTGTTTAAATATTCTAATATTATCAGTAATAAAAGTTTTGAACAAATATGTTATTTAATTATAAAATATGATCTTATTGTTAGCTGAAAAAATTTAGAAATTTAAAATAGTATAGTTTGTATATTGTATATTAAAAGTATTTTTATAACTGCTTTCTCAAACAGAATAAAATCTTTCCAAAATTTATCATCAAATTAAAATGTTTCCCCTATGATATTTAATACAAAAGCAATAATTAAATAAATTAATATAAAGTTTGTAACAGTGATACAATGTCTAACATATATAGAATAATATATAAGAGAATAATAGAATAATATTTCAAATAATTATTAAAAAAAAATTGTTTAACAATCTGCTTACAAATACGTATACTATATAAAGCATACATATATATATATATATAATATGCATACATATTTCAGCATTATACATATTAAATAATTTATATTATTTTCACAAAATATTAACTATAAATATCAATGAAACATGATTTTATTATCAAACATACAAAACCAACTTTATAAGGTTTTTATCATTAAATTCTAGGGACTGTAAATTTTAGTGCTATACTATTCATTTAGTTTAGTGTATTTTTATAAAAAGATATTTTTATTGTATATTATTTTAAAAAAATTTAATATTTGTATTTATCGTTAATTATTATGTGTAAAATGAAAATAAAATATATTTCTATAAAATATAAAATATTGAATTGTTTCTAGTAAAAAGTGATGATATAAGAATATACATATAACCTCCTTTCAAATATTCAATCTTACCGGTCAAATGTTTACTCCGTTTGTTAGTATTAATCGTACATTAACAACCGCTGCAAGATGCAAACGGCGAGTTGTCGTTACAGGAATGGGTGTAGTATGTCCTCTTGGAGTTGGTCTACAAAATGCTTGGCAAACTCTTATTGATTCCAAATCAGGTATCACCAAATTGACTAATCCAGAATATAACAAACTACCTTGCAAAGTTGGTAAATATTTTATATATTCTCGTTTTCTAAATAAATTCATAAAAAGTCTATTGAATTTTCTGTGATAAATTTTTAATATGTATAATTCAATGAAGCCCAATTTTTTATAGCTGCATTAGTACCTAAAGGAAATGGTCCTAATGAATTAGATATTGATTCATATTTTACAAAAAGTGATTTACGTACAATGTGCCCAGCTACTGCTTATGCTTTGATAGCTACAGAAGAAGCATTAAATGATGCAAATTGGAAACCAAAAGATGAAATTGATAAACAAGATACAGGAGTAGCAGTAGGAATTGGAATGATAGATTTAGTTGACGTATGCACAACATATGAGGCCTTAAAAAAAGGATATAACAAAGTTAGCCCTTACTTTGTGCCAAGAATATTACCCAACATGGCTGCAGGACAGATTAGTATTAAATATGGTTTTCGTGGCCCAAATCATTCTGTATCAACAGCATGTGCAACTGGAGCACATGCAATTGGTAGTATAAGTTTCAGCCAAGACTAAAAATATTTTCTGAATTTACTATGATTTACTATTGTTTAACACATTTGATTTTCAGGTGATGCATTTCGTTTTATTCGTGGGGGAGAAACGAGTATAATGATATGTGGTGGAGCAGAAGCATGTATCAGTCCTCTTGCTATAGCTGCTTTTTGTAGACTTCGAGCATTAAGTACTAACAAAAATGATTTTCCATATGAAGCATCAAGACCATTTGATAAGGATAGAGATGGATTTGTCATGGGAGAAGGTGCTGCTATATTAGTCTTAGAAGAATTAAATCATGCACTTGAAAGAAAAGCTAATATTTATGCAGAAGTGTTAGGATATGGTTTATCTGGTGATGCAGCACATTTAACTGCACCTAGTGAGGATGGTACTGGTGCTATATTAGCTATGGATAGAGCAGTAAAAGACGCTGGTATAGAAACTGTAGATATAACTTTTATTAATGCACATGCAACTTCAACTCCTTTGGGCGATGGGATTGAATTGAAAGCTGTAGAATCATTTATGGGACAACATAGTAAAAACGTAACTATCTCTAGTACAAAAGGTGCGCATGGTCATTTATTAGGAGCAGCAGGAAACTTAGAAGCTGTTTTTACTATTTTAGCAATAAAAGAAGGTGTAATTCCACCAACATTAAATTTACATAATCTAGACACGGAAACATGCTTAAATTTTGTACCTAATGTAAAAAAAAATTGGAATACAACCTCGAAGCGCATAGCATTAAAAAATGCATTTGGTTTTGGTGGAACAAATGCATGCTTATGCTTTGCACAATATAATGAATAAATCGATAATTAAACTAAAATTATATTTTTAAAAAAGCATAATATTACAATGTAATCCAAACTAGTCATTCCTCAATGTACATAATTAATATATATATGTCGCATTTGAAGGAAATATACATAATTTTACTTTTTTATAACAAAATACAAATGAAATTCAAACAATATTTTTAATACTTTTGTATAACATATAATATGAAACTCTTGTAACATATTGTACAAAGAGAAAGCAAAATATTTTATATATTACTATAGAACATTGTACAAAACAGATGTAACTCGGAATAATATAATACATAATGGATTGTAATAATATAATATGTAATTTTGTATTAATTTTTAATATTCTTCGGTCATATTATTACAACATTTACATTCATTTTGCACAAAAACGAAGTCAAATCTTCCAAAAAAATAAAATCCTCTTAAAGTAGATAGTAATTTATACAATTATTTACTACGTGCAGTTTATCATTATTCATCATGTTTTTATGATTAATAAATATTCATAAAAATTATCATTTAATTATACAAGTATGGAAATCAGTCTCACTTTTAATTCTGATCACTGACAAATATTTGTGCATTAATTTGATGATTTATATTTTCTTTAATCCAGTTTTCAGAATTAATATTTGATTATAAAATCTGATTTCATTAATTTACAATTATATTCTTCATCTACCAATGTCTTTTATTCTTATAAATTTAGCTGCATAAAAAACAACAAAATTCAAGGCATAATTATTTCTTGGTACCTCTAGTTTATTAGATGCAATTCTTTGCTTACAGATAAACCATACCATATAATGTTCTTACATCTCCAACAATATTCTATTCGCATAGGAAGGTTGACATCCACTGACAACAGTTATACGAAAGACATCTATTGCACTCCTGTTTTTTTTTCTTTTTTCTACTGGCAGTAAATCAATGTAAAAAAGAAAGATTGTATCCTATTAAGTAACTGTACCTAGTAGGAATTCTTAATTAGGAATGGTAAAGGGTTTATGATGGCTGCATAAAATAGCAAAACGTTTTCTCAGTGTCTGACGCAGTTCTTGTCGTTTTTCAAGAACTTGGCACATTCGAGATTTAAATTCCAATACTTCCTCAGCTGGAATATATTCTTTTTCTTCATCGCTTGATAAATAAGAATCCTAAAAAAAACAAATTATACAGCATATTAGAAATAAAAGTAAAGCTCTAAATGAAATTCTAAATTAGAACGAATTACACACTTCTAACATTTGTGTGAGTGTTAAACCTCCACCTCTTTCCTTTAGTAATGAGATACTATAATTGGAATGAACAAGTTTATCAAATGGTCGTATATCGTGACAATCTCTTTCATGATTACAACATCCATCACTACAAGCTACTTCCGAACCTTCTGGAGTACTAGGAAGGGAAGAACTACTAATTTGCTCTGACGAATAACCATAATCTTGTGATGATTGTTCACTTGAAGAACGACTTTTCCTTTCTGAGATTGATAATTCGAAACGTTTTTTCATTTCTATCCACATATTGCTTTTACTTGGCTTTCCAATCCAAGCATCTACTATTTCTTTAGTCATTGAATCTTTACAATCTTCTAGATTATGCCAATGATTATTTTCAATCTTTTCTGAAAGATCCTATACAATACATGATATTTAAATCTTAATGAACGTTAAATTCAACGTGATAAAATAACATATTTAAATCTTAAAACGTACGATACTTAAAGCATATATTGACATAAATTATTACCTTGTATGATTCACATGCATCAAATAATTCTTCTTCAAAAAGATTCTTCACAGGTGTATTACATTTTTTTGTTTGAGTTGTAGAAATTTTGGTTTTTAGTTCAGAAGAACTTTTGTTATTGTATTTTTGAACATTTGATTCTTTAGGAAATACTAATTGTATTTGATTTTCTTGTTGTGACATAGACTTTGATTTTTTTACACAGTCTGGACATTTACATGTAGGTGGTCCCTTATTTTTGGGATCTAATACTTGTAACTGCAACAGATAGACAATAATCATAATATATGCGCATAATTAAATAAAGAAATACTATAATAATCTATTTACCTTATGTTGATTTATGTTTTGTATTGTGGGTTTTGAATCCCCACAAATACAAGATGTATCACTTTGTCTTTTACTTGAACACTAATAATAATTAATTTATATGGGAATATTAAATACATAAAATATTAAATACATTATTATAAATTTAAATTTTTAATACATATATATAAATTTAAAAAATCTATATATATTTATAAATATTTAACATACATCACATGCATTTTCTTTTTCTTCTATCTCATATCGTCGTTCTTTCTTCTTTTTGCGTTTCAAACGCAACTTCTCTCGTCGTTGTTGTTTTACTATTTCTTCTCTTGTCAATTCTTCATAGAGAAGTTCTAATTGAGAAACACCTTGTTTAACTTCTACAGCCATCTGTGAAAAATCACATAATCATTTACAAATAATTTAATTAATTCAGTAACATATTACAAATTTTATTAATTATACTTGAAAATTCCTAGATAATGCATCTACAGCAACAGCAGCTAACACTTTGCATACAGTTTCCTCTTCTCTTAATCGTCTATGAATTCTATGTAAGCGTTCAGCGACACACATTGCTAAACATGTAAGTACCTCTTCCTGAGCAATTTCTAACGTTTTCGCATGTCGTTCTCTATAATTTGAAGATTATTTTACAAACTAATTTCAAAATATAATTGTGAACAACAATATCTTGCAATTCTGTACCTTCCCATGAGTTCTGGCTGTATACGGCCCATAAGGTTGCCCATAAAATATGAGTTTATAGGTATATGTACATGTCTATCACGTATGCAACGTCTGATCCCATAATATAAAGAAGCAACATAGCCTTTCTCTTTCTCTGGTTCAGGCTCTGTTGTTAACAGAGAAAATGCCAGCAGTACCTTTGTACGGCATTCACCACAAAATCTATAATTATAAATGCGATATAAAATGTTTGTAGATAATTATAAAAATTTATAAACTTACCGATGTTTACGTAAATATGTATCTAAAGTAGCTTCAAGACTATTACTTTCTATTAATGAAAGTGCTAGACGACATGTGTGATCCATACAATCCCATACTTCTTTCCATGCACCTGGAGGAGGTCTCATACGTTGAATTTCTAATGAATGCAATACACATCTTCGTGATTTTTTATTTCTAGGTTGGCCTTCAACTAAACTGTTTAACCTAGTGCTATAGTAAATATTAATATTATTGAACATACATACTTAAACAATATATATCCATATATATTTTATTACCTGTGTCCTTGCAACATTGTACAAAGCAATTGTGGCGATTCTAGAACATCATCCTTTATTGATAACAAACCTTCAGGTGTAATCACTAATGGATCTAATGCTGGATGTCCTGATTTCATAAGGTCATAGAATAGTCTTTCAACACTAAATATGTATAATACTAATTAATTCAGAGATTTAACACATTTATTACATACATTATATTTAAATGTTTTATGATACCTCCTTCTACAACCAATACATGGCACAGCCTGGCTTAAGACCACAAGCATATCCTTACATGTCACTTCAAACGAAGCTTTAATTTCTTCTTTCGTAAGTATATTAAGCTTTCTAATAAATTCATCAAGTTCTTTACCGCAAACTAACGGACTATCACAAATTGCTCCTAAATTATTTATATCCATCACCATCTATAAAAAAAAATTAACATTGCATGATTAAATTTAATTTTATTCTTTTTAAAACATCAAAGTCAAATATTTGTAAAGAAATAATATTCTTTTAAGAATGTACTCTAATTATATACTTAACTTACGATATATTATAAACATATAATTTATAACATAATAATATAAAATATGAACTTTATTTAATTTATTTAATTGTTAAAAATACGTACAAGATACTCTATAAAAATACGTACAAGATACTCTATTAAAATTTAATACTTTCTTATATATAAAATAAAAATGTAATATATCACATTTTTATGAATGAATTTATTATTCTCAGTTTCTCATACACTTGCTTAGTAATATTTAATTAAAGTATGAAAAAAACCAATCATTTTGACATTCTTTTTTTCAGAAAGAAGAAAACAAAATCAAAATGACCGCGTAAGTGCAAATGAAGGTCGGAAATAACTGCGAAATCTCTGATTCTATAAAGTTCTAGTGATCAATGACTAAACCAGAACACTAATATCAAACATAATACTCTGAATAGTAAGCATGTATTCATTGTCTTAGGTTAAGTCAGAAATATCATGGGATGCCATTACGTAAGTCCTGTTGAGCTTCCAGTTTTTAATAGCCAGATACTGTAATTTACGAAAAAAAAAATGACAAAAGAAGATTATACTCACTGTAAGATTCTCATCGACAATGAATGGCATTTGTCTTCGCGTCAAATCGACCGGGTCATCGTCCCGCCAAACGTTCACTAACTTCGCCATCACTGTTGAACTTTTCTATTGACAACAATTATAAATATGACAATGTTCAATCTTAAAATCTGGACATATCACCACTAATAATTGTAATACACTGCTATACCAGAAAAATAAGTAGACAGTATCATACGTCTGCCATTTGCAACGAGTGGTTTCTCACTTCCGCCCTGCGTGCATTGTCCCGCTTCCCTCTGTACGTCATCTTATTCTTATTCTAAAGAGATCATATTCTAAAGAGTAAAGATTATATTATAATTGGTCACTCAAGGACATTTTCCACCGGTACATTTAAACAATCGTAATCGTAACTCATTCTTAACGTTTTCCACACATACAACTCTTCTTTTCAGATAGATTCGTATAAATGATGTCTCTTAAGTTTCTCTTAAATCTGTCATTTTAACATAATTTTCGTCTTCTGCAATAGTCGAATATAATATTCATATATTTCTGTTACAATAGAACATATTTCAATACCTTTGAGCAGTTAGAGTATATAATTTTTAATTTAATGTAATTTTGTTTCTATTTTTCTACTAATACAGAATAGTATAGCGCATATTAATTAAAAATTTCAATACGATTAACAATATCTTCGTAAATAATGTATGTATTTACAATGAATATGTGCATATACATACATACATACATACATTCATAAAATAAAGCATAATAGTAAACTGTTGTTAAAACAAAAACTGTTTAATACATTAAAGAAAAATTTATATAGCCCGCCAATTTGTTTAAGCACGTTCATCACTGACCCATCATAAGGTAGTACATTTATATCTATATACTACCTGTACCTAATACTTAAGAAGTTATTCTAAAAATATATTCGCATATGTATGTATTTCTATATAGTATACCTGTTTGTTTTTCTTCTAAAAAAAATTGTATAAAAAATATGACGGTAGACATATAGATTCAACAATTAAAAACTTTCAATAATCATTCCTTGAAATGCATCTCAATATTTCATTAGGTCAAAAGCAAACATGTTTGCATTAATTCTTTAATTTTTCATTTTTTTCATTATTAAATTTTTTATTTACAGCGAGCATAACATCTTCCCAACAGTATTAACTTATTAATAAATCTATTTAAAATTTCGTAAGAGAATTATGTTTACTAAGTATGTTTGGTTATTACCATTGTTTGCATCTATTCTATTATATTCAAATGATTATTTGAATGATGTTACATTTAATTTTCCGAGCAAGTGGTTAAATGTTATTAAAAATGTTTACTCTGATCTTAATAAAAAATTAAATATAGAGTCAAACAAGAATGCAAATCAAAAAGTATTTACATCAACTGAACTTAAGAAATACACAAATTTGAAAAATGGTTTGTACATTTCAATATTAGGTCAAGTTTTTGATGTCACAAAAGGTGCAAAATATTATGGTCCTGGTGCAACTTATCATGCATTCACTGGTATGGTGTATTATGAGATTACATGCATTATTATATAGTATATATATATATATATATGCACTTATATATTTATAGGTCGTGATGCATCTTTAGCATTTATTACTGGAGAATTTAATGAAGACAGCTTAACAGATGACATTTCTTCATTATCTATACATCAAATTAAAGCATTAAATGATTGGGTCCAATTTTACAATAAAAATTATATTTATAAAGGTAGTAAGCTTGGAAGCTAAACATGTATTTATAGATTATTTTATTACCTTATTTTTCTAAATAGGAAAATTAAATGGTAAATATTATAATGAAGATGGTTCTCCAACTAAGGAATCTTACAATGTACAAAAAATATTAATAAATGCAAAAGAAAAGCAATTTGAAGAAGTGCATAAAAAGAGAATGTTTCCTCCATGTAATATAGAGTGGAAACCAGATTCTGGAACTGTAGTATGGTGTACTAAAAAAAGGTAAGCACATTATGTAAAAATATTGATTAAATATTGATTAAAATTTATTTCTCTAGTGGAGGAATAGAAAGAGATTGGGTTGGTGTACCAAGAATGTTATTTGAATCTCCAAATTCTAAAGAACATAGATGTGCCTGTGTAAAACTTAATAGCAAAGAATACAAAGAAATCAAAGGCATGATAAGAGAATATCTTCAATGTCCAAAAACGTCAACAAAATGTGCTATAAAAACGGAAAACTAATAAAACACAAAGATGTATTATAGTTGATAAATATATAATTTTAATATTGACATTTACAATTCTATGTAAATTTCATTATTTCTTACATCTATGAAAGTATCTTTTCTAATTGAAACTAAGTAATAATTTTTATATATATTTTGATATAGCATATTGAAATATAATTATAAATATTGAAATGTAATTATAAATGATTTGTAATACAAAATATAGTATATTTATCAGGAAGAGTATAATAGTTAGTACTTTTATCATTTAAAGATAATTTTAAATTAACATTTATATCATTTTTTTATATGTTCAGTCTTTTAATGTATATTATTTTAAAAATTCATAAAATTTTTTATTGCTATTCAATGTATTTCATTTTCATATATATATAAAATACATAAAAAGTAAATATCGAATAAAAGTATAAAGGTATTATGGTATTATGCAATACATAAAGATGTTATGATATAAATGCACTAAATAATCATAATTCAATACAATAACAAAAAAACTTGAAATTAATATAAGTTCACAAATTATGTTTTCATGACAAAATTACACGTAATCTTTATTTATTATTTCAATGCAAAAATTTTTCTTAAAGAAATACATGACTTTGTCGATAGGTTTTATAAAATAGTGTTCTTCATATTTTCTTGAAAATATTTTTACCTTATCTCTTTGTCATCATAAGTACTGTTTTTTGTATTTGTTCATATCTTAATACTCATATAAAAAATTGAAAAAATGTTATAAACAAACCATAAATATGCATTAAGAAGATAATTTCTTTCCCTGCGTCCTATTATAATCGGTAAAAAATTTCTTACACTATTTAATGTTTTGACATCTTTCACTTTCTCTAATTTTCAATTTTTGTAGGTGATTCTGCTTTAATACCATTTAACTTATCTAACAACATTTGCATTGATGCACGTTTTCGTTTAAAATTGATCTTTGATCCAAATACCTTTTTAATTTTTGCTCTTCTTTTCTTTAATTTACTATCGGTAGGTTCTTTTTGAAACTGTATCATACGTTTATACCTCTTCACACTCATATATGTAATACATTCACTTGGATCATCTTTTTCCTCATAAATTGTTTCTAGATTATTTAATCTCCTTTTTAAATTTTTGTTTAAATAATACTCCTTACAATCAATTTCTTCTGTGTGTGCTTTATTTTTTTTACTGTTACCTTGCATTTCTGAACATGTTCTTTTGCTTGGTCTTAAACTGCATCTAACAAAAAAAAATATATATATATAAGTAAATAAATATATAAATTATACAATAAAACCATTTGTTTATATATTTATTAAAATTATGATATTGTATTATAAATATTATTGTACCTTCTATTAAGATTCTCGTTAGATTCTTTTTTAAGAATTCTTTTTCTTAATATCTTTTTCTCTGAAGATGGCAAATTTGTATTCATTGTAAGCATTTCTAAACTTGCTGTTACTGCAGGTAAATTAGTATCAATTAAATCATGTGCTTCTTTACTGAAAAATGTAATTTAAATTTATAATATTTTTGAGTAAACTATATTAAATTGTTTGTGTTCAAATACATAAACATTAAATTACTAAATTGTTAAAAAATAAATATGAATATATTTGCATATACAAATAATAACTTGAAGAATGAAAATGAAAAAATGAAAAAAACAAAGAATTGTTTCTTTAAAAACTTAAAATTATACAAACTTACGTTTCAAATTGTATATTGTCCATTTGTAAGATTTAAATATATATTCACTTACTTATAAATTACTTAAAAATGAATCAATCATATATAATTATAATTGACACTTTTTAAAGAAATCATTCGAAAGAAATTATTACAATCATCTTAAAATTATAATATATTTAGCATATCCGTATATGCTTTAATTCTTTAAAAATATAATATTTTCCAAAGAAAGATTGTTAAGATACAATTTTTCAGGCAGAGCATTCACTATGTTTTCAGAATTTGAAATCGTGTATAAAGGTGTAATATTCCTTTGTTCTATGGTATAGAAAAAATTGAAAGTAACCTCTTTCTAACAAAAGCTGTTACAACCAACAAATTTTTAATACCCCACAATAATTGTTCTTTTCAACTATAATATATCAATTTCGCCTTACACTATTGAGTATTGAACTTTAGCTCTAAAGAGCAACAGCGCTCTCTTAAGTAAAGCTTGGAATACTTACTAACCAATGACAGAAAATCAGCTATCGCGTCCTTAAACGTTTCTATACATTCATAGAAAGACTACGTGAAAATGTCAGAAATATTGATGTACGAAATTAAATTTTACGAAATATATAAATAAATATATATTATTAAAAAAAAGAGTAGTGGAATTACTTAAATGTGAAAATATGAAGAAAGAAAGAACGGCCGATAATAGCCGACCATATAAATTATAAGTATCTCCAAGAATTTTGTGATGTAAACAAAAGTTATTCATTATAGTTAACGTTCTAGTAAACAAAGTTTCATGTAATTTTCCTAATTTATCTCATTGTAGAAAATGTAGATTATAAAAAACTTCATTATTGTTTAACTTAATTTTTATTATATTAAGGTTATGTTTATAAAAATTTATAGCCAGAATTTTTACAATTTTATGACACTAAGCTGTAACTTCTTTCCAGTAATAAACAAATTTATTTAATTTTTTATCTTATTTTGTTTATTTTTATTTTATCAACTATTATTTAATATGTTTTTTTATTACACGGCTCATCAAATATTGAGCCTTACAGGTATAAGCTTTCAAAGAAAGAGCATTATTGTAAGTATAATTATTACAGCTAACTGAAATTATTTTCATTTTAACTTATTTCAAATATTTATTTCACACAGGGATTTGTAGAATTAACAATAGTTCCACTTAGAGATACATTAAGACTTGTGAAATTAAATGCAAAACAATGTAGAATATACAGAGTATGTTTAAATGATACTTATGAAGCACCATTTCAATATTTTGATCCATTTTTAGATATCTGTCAAGGAGATGGCAAACAGTAAGTACTTGAAATCAATTATAAAATTTTTATATAGTAGGAGATTGTTAAAGCACTGTAATACTTTTTTAGACGATCATTGGAGTTTTTTTCAAACATGCATTTAGCAGCTGCACAAAGAGTTGATCCAGATAACAATGCAGGAGAATTAGTTGTACAAATTCCACCAGATGCTGCACATTTAGTTGCAGAAGGTAGAAGTTTAAGAATTAGCATTGAGTTTTCTTTAGAACAACCTCAAGGTGGAGTGCATTTTGTTGTACCAAATTGTGAAGGGACATTAGCAGAGGTAATAGTAAATTTGTTGCATACAAAATTAATTTTAATTTTGTCAACTTACACTTAAAAATTTTCTTATAGAGAGGTGCACATATGTATACATATAGTTATGAAAATTCTTCAAGATTATGGTTTCCATGTGTTGATAGTTTCGCAGAACCATGTACTTGGAAGTTAGAATTTACAGTTGATGATTCTATGACAGCTGTATCTTGTGGTGATCTTTTAGAAGTTGTATATACTCCAGATATGCGCAGAAAAACTTTTCATTATGTTCTTAATACACCAGCATGTGCACCAAACATTGCACTTGCAGTTGGGTAAGTTATTTTAATTTTATATGTAATAAATATAGTAATAAGTTTTATATTTTTAATATAACTTCCATTTTTTCAGACCATTTGAAATATTTGTGGATCCATATATGCATGAAGTAACACATTTTTGCTTACCACAGTTATTACCATCACTAAAAGTTTCTGCAAAATATATGCATGAAGCATTTGAATTTTATGAGGAAACATTGTCAAATAGATATCCTTATTCTTGCTATAAACAAGTTTTCGTAGATGAGTTAGATGAAGATATAAATGCATATGCTACTATAAGTATTCTAAAGTAATAAATTGAAGTAACTAACTTTAATATTAAATATTTTATTTATTTTTCATAAATACTGTAAATTAAATATTTATTTATAGTACAAATTTATTACATTCAACTGCCATCATTGATCAAGTTTATATTACAAAAAAGGCTATGGCACAAGCAGTTGCAGAACAATTTTTTGGTTGTTTTATATCTATGCAAAATTGGTCTGATACATGGTTACCTAAAGGTATTTCAACATATTTAACTGGTTTATATGCAAAGAAATGTTTTGGAAATAACGAATATAGAGAATGGATACAATCGGTAAATCAATTTTTTTTGCTGTTATCTATTAAAATAATTTTCTAAAAATTATTATTTAATATTATTAATATTTTTAGGAACTTCAGGAAGTTGTAAAATATGAAGAACAGTTTGGTGGCATAATATTAGATCCTTCTCAACCACCAGCTCCATTACCTATCGCAGCTAATACACCAGCACCTACACCTAGAGCTCCAGATCCCGGATTCTATTTTCCAATAAGAAATTTACACACAATGTCTCCAAAATATATTGAAGTACTTCGTAAAAAAGCACATTTGGTTATTAGAATGCTAGAACATCGGATTGGCCAGGAATTACTTCTACAAGTATATACATATATCTACAAATACTATATTATTCTTAGTTAACGTTCTAATAATAAAAATTTATTTTATTTTTCAGGTTTTCAACAAACAGTTATCTCTTGCTGCTAATGCTGCACAACAAAAGATTGATTCTGGACTTTGGTCTCATATGTTAATTAGTACAAATGTATTTACAAAAGCAATTTTTACTGTAACTGGTAAAGATATGGCAGTTTTTATAGATCAGTGGGTTAGAACTGGTGGTCATGCAAAATTTAGCTTAAGTTTTGTATTTAATAGGAAAAGGTACTTGTATCTTGATTTGAATTTAGCTTAAGTTTGTATAAATTTTAGTTATTTATCAAACTAAAACGTTTTATATAGGAATACCGTAGAATTAGAAATTCGACAAGATACTACAAACCAAAGAGGAATTCGAAAATATGTTGGTCCACTCTTAGTTAATATTCAAGAATTAGATGGTACTTTTAAACATACTTTACAAATCGAAGGTACTGTAGCAAAAGCAGATATAACCTGTCACAGTAAAAGTCGTAGAAATAAAAAAAAGAAAATCCCGCTATGTACTGGAGAAGAAGTAGATATGGATCTTTCTGCTATGGAGTAAGTCTTATTTCAATACACAATTCAAACTCTAATGTTATTAAAATTATTTTTTTATAAAAAAATATGTATTTATGAAAATTTTTATTTCATGCAGTGATTCTCCTGTATTATGGATAAGATTAGATCCTGAAATGACACTTTTGCGTGCAGTTCAAATTGAACAACCTGATTATCAATGGCAATATCAATTAAGGCATGAAAGAGATGTTACCGCACAATTAGAAGCTATCGAAGCTTTACAAAATCATGCAACACCTGCTACACGATTAGCATTAACTGACACTATAGAAAATGAACATTGTTATTATAAAGTTAGATTACGAGCTGCACATTGTTTAACTAAGGTTATTTATATTTTAAATATTCATATTTTAAAATTATTTATAAGTCTCGTTCACTTACATTATCATTATTGTAGGTAGCTAATGCAATGGTTGCAACATGGGCAGGTCCACCAGCAATGTTAGCCATATTTCGAAAATTATTTGGTTCGGCTTCGTGCAGGCGGATAATCAAACAGAACAATTTCTCAAATTTTCAACATTATTTTTTGCAAAAGGTTTGATCGATGTTTTCTGAACAAACTAGGTGTGACAAATTATTTTACATTATGTATTTTTACAAATTTAATTTTATGATTTTTTAGACTATACCTGTAGCGATGGCTGGTTTACGTAATGCTCATGGTATATGTCCGCCAGAAGTTCTAGCTTTCCTGATGGATTTATTTAAATATAATGATAATAGTAAAAATAGATATTCAGATAATTATTATCGAGCTGCATTAATTGAAGCGCTTGGAGCTACTGTTACACCTGTAATTAGCGTTCAACAAGGGTATAATAAACATTAGAAAAAATTACATTTATCACATGTATATGTGATTATATATTAATGTGTTTCTTTAGGACAGCTATTACTGCTGAATCTCTATCAGTTGATACCAGAGCTATATTGGAGGAAGTCACAAGAAATTTAAATTTGGAAAAATTGTTGCCTTGTTATAAATATACAGTTAGCGTTGCTTGTCTTAAAGTCATACGAATTTTACAAAAATTTGGCCATCTTCCCAGCAACCCTCATCTTTTCAGAGCATATGCTGGATATGGACAATTTATAGGTATATAAGGTGTTTTATGTTTTATACACATGTATTATATATTTAATAAAATGCCGATATTCACATATTTTTATTATGGCTGATTTAGATGTTAGAATTGCAGCATTAGAGGCATTAGTAGACTTTACTAGAGTAGACGGTAAATGGGAAGATTTAGAATTTTTGTTAGATATGATAGAAATGGATCCTCATCCTGGAGTGCGACACAGATTAGTAAGACTTATGGTTGAAAATCCATCATTTGAAAGAGCACATAAACATCGTTTAGATCGCCCTGAATTGGTCGATCGTATATGGAATTTAATTAAGTATGTTGAATTTTAATTGCTATTTACATATTTCAGTTTTCTTTCTTTAATGCATTTAATACAAACTTGTTCTTACAGTGGTATGCTCTCTCACGATCCAAAAATTCGATGTGATCTAGTTGATTTATATTATACTTTATATGGATCAAAACGACCACTTTGCCTTCCCATTCCTGAGCTTGCTGCTATTACTAAACCAAAAAAAGCAGGACCTCCAAGCCCTGAACAAGATGTAAGATCTTGTTTCAAGCAATTATATAAAACAAAAAAAAAATAAATTATTAATTTCCATTTTTCCTTTTAGATAAAACCAAACATATCACATATAAAACATGAATCATCGGTAGTAGAAATCGAGAATACAAGTGGAACAAATAAAAGGAAACCTTCTCCAAATAGAGACACTCCAGGTCCTTCTAATTTGGTAGATTATACTTCGGAAGTAAAGCGACAGAAACAGGTAACTAACGCAAGATATGTCAGAAAAAAAGTAATTAAGCTCTGAAATTGTAATCATAAAATTATATTTATTTATTATATGTATTTGTATTTTAAAAAGGATGATCGTACACCTTCTGTAACTAATGATGGAAAAGTAAAATCAGAGTATTATAGTGACAATTCTGCATCATTACCTGGCATTATGGGAACGCCAGGACCAATAGGTTTTGAACCAGGGATGTTTAAAAAAGAAGGAGAAGAATATAAACAAAAAAATGACGCTGTTAATAAAGTAAATCATATTACATTCTCTCTCTGTTATTCTTATTTCGTACATATATATATTTTATACGTATTTATTCATATCATTTATTTTGCAGAATAAGAAGAAGAAAAAAGATAAAAAGAAACATAAACACAAACATAAACATAAACATGATCATAAACACGGTAAAGATAAAGACAAAAAAGACAAAGACAAAGTTAAGGAGAAAGAGAAAGATAAAGAAAAAGATAAGACAAAAGATTCCTCAAATTTAAAGGTCAAAGAAGAAACTTTAAGCTCAGCAAGTTCTAGTCTCAGTCCAGATGCATCAACTGTTACTAACGAATTTATCTTTCCATAATAAAATTAACGTATTGTAATTTTTTAAAGCTCTATATTATCATTTTTATATAATTTAGAAACACATTTTAATGCATCATGAATCAGAATGTTAAACATCGAATATTGTAAATATGCATTTTTAAATATGTTATACAAAAGATATTTTCATTTATTTTGTAAATAAAATAACTAAAATTAAAATTATTCTGCTTCTATATATTTTATTATGTATAAATTAACAACTATCCTTTTATGTAAAAATCTGATAAAAAAAACAAAAGAGTAACAAATACAAGAACATAAATATTGAAACTAAAAACTAAATAAATCTATGAGGTCTAAATTTGTAAATTTATTAAAAAATATATATTTAAATAAAAAAACTTTATTTTATATTGCTTAAAATTAAACAACATTTTAAATGGAAACATTTAACAAAGCAATAATTTAAGTAACAAAAGAATATTTTTTAACGTTACGTCGACACTAGAGACGCGCTTATATTTAAATACTTCTTGCGCATTAACTAGGATGGCGTCTGTGGTGTTGCGGCAATTTCGAAGGGAATAGAGAGTTTTGAAAATTTTGACAACGACCTCGAGAATGGCAGATAATCAACAAAGTAGATTTGAAAAGTCTCTCGGTCTATTAACGACTCGTTTTGTCACCTTATTACAGAAAGCAAAAGACGGTGTCCTTGATTTAAAAGTAGTAAGTGCTTTCATAAATTCTTAGGTATAAAAAGTTAACCTACTTGCTAGGTTAAGTTGTCGCGGGCGTACACGCCATTTCTAGCTTGCGGGAATTTTGAAATAAGTTTCACCGAAGTTAATAATTCATATTCATTTAGAATATGTTTCTAATGTTGATTATTTCTATATTACAAATTACTTTTATTTCACATTCCACAAACAACATGTTGCGAGTTTTATCATCTCAACGTGCTGTCCTACATAACCTAAAAAACAGAACACCACTATTATATTTGATAACGTATGATAGCAATTTTATAATATTCTAGGCAGCTGATATCTTAGAAGTTCGGCAAAAAAGGCGAATTTATGATATAACTAATGTTCTTGAAGGTATTGGACTCATTGAAAAGAAAAGCAAAAATAGTATCCAATGGAAGTATGTTTTACTTATTATTTATATATTCTTTAACATATCACAATTACAGTTTTGTGTATCTCATTGTAATAATAAATAATTTAAATATATCATCAGAGGAGCAGGTCCAGGTTGTAATACTCAAGAAGTTGGTGAAAAATTAACTGATTTAAAAGATGAAATAAGAAAATTAGAAGATCACGAACAGTTATTAGATATGCATACTCAATGGATTCAACAAAGTATAAAAAATATAGAAAATGATTTAATTAATAAGAAATACGCATATATTACTTACGAGGATGTTAAAGAAAATTTTCCTGACGATTTTGTATTAGGAATTCAAGCTCCACCTGATACAGAATTAAATGTACCAAAATACATAATGCAGGTACTAATTTATTTTTAGAGAAACTTATATTTCTGATTAGTTTTAAATATATTAATAGGATTATATTTTATTGTATATCATTAATGTTAGACATCAGAAGATGATGACAAATTGAATTATGAAATGTTTCTAAAAAGTAATTCTGGAGAAATTAAGGTGTATATGATTCAACCAGAATTAGCTAAAACATATGATAATAAAATATTAGAAATGAGACTACAAGAGGAAATAAAAGGCATAAAAAGAGGAAAAGAGGAAGAAGAGAAAAAGGAGGAAACTAATGTTAAACCAAAGAGAAGAGTTGGAAGGTAAAAATAATTCTATAAATGTAAAAAAACTTGCTCTATTCGCATCAAAAATAATAAGATATTATTTTTGATCTGCAAAGAGCACAGAGTAAAATGATCTTTATAGGGGTGAATAGATATCAAGAAAAAATCTATTCTATTGGTATGGATCATACATTTGCAATATTTTGATCATTAAAATAAATTAGTCAACAATTATATTTTAACTACAAATTTTAATAATTTTTAATTTTAGACCTCCAAAAGGAAGCAGTAAACCTGATCCTATTATATCTGATGAGGATGAAGAAGATGATGCAGACTTGATAGAAGCAAAAATAGTACTTCGAGATGTTAGCACGTCAGGTAAATAATATTCACTATTAAAACATGAATATAATAAATAATATTTAATTGAATCAATTGTTATAATTTTAGATATTGCACAAAAGGATTTGGAGTTATTTGATCAAATTTATTCTGACAGTAAGTAAACAATTAAGTTGAATAAGCTGTAACAAATATTCATATAATTTCTTAAATTTTTATTTTCAGTTTATGGACCATTAGTAAGATTAAGTCCTCCACCCAGTGAAAAAGATTATCACTTCAATCTTAGTGAAAATGAAGGAATTTGTGACTTATTTGATATTACAGCAAAATGAGTAAATTAGTTATATAGTTCAAATGATTGAATGATTCAGACTGTGCCAATAATGTGCAAAATTGCAGAAAATTTATTGACAATTTCTGAAGGCTGTTCTATGTATATAATTTTAAAGAATGGATATGGATAATGATCATTGAATACATGCAGTATTTTTTTATTAGTAGAAATAAAAAAATAATACAAGTTATAGAAAAAAAAATGTTTATATAAATTTTGTTGCATCTTTATTTAAGTAATAAGAATTCTAAATTTTGACGGATTCTTTATAGTCTATGACTATGATTATGATTTATTTCTATAAATTTGTTTATAAACTTAAACCTTATATGCGGAAAAAACAAAACTGTTTTTATTTATAGTGATTGCATATAAGGAAAATGTTAAAGAGAGAAATATTTTTACGAATGACATGTTGTGTCCAAATTAGCAAATTGTTTTTGCAAACTTTGTATCTATTTTATTAAGTTACTTTTTTATATATTTGTTTAATGATTTTTTGAGACAATATAAAAATGTACATTCTGTCAAAACATATAAGAGTGTATATAAGACTATCATCATTTATTGTAAACGAGTACATGCGTACCTGTGCTCTTTTTATAATATACTTTCCCTGTTTTATATTGTATGTTTGTTACTGCATTCAATGACACTAATTAAGTTTGTGAATATTATAATTATTTAAGAAAAATAAATTTAAATGAAAACAAGATACAATTAAAGAGACCAAAACCCATAATTTACTTTATAATAAAGTCACGGTACAACATTGTTAAATATGTGTCATTAATTCTAAAGAAACAATTTAATCTGTTTGAACTTCCTCGCACTCTTTTTGATTCAATCGATTAAACTTTACTAATTGAATCTACATCTTTTTACTTTTGCTGACGTCAGATATTTCAATATTGCTTTGCTCTACGACATCATATATTCATACGCAATTAAAAGATATGTAGCTGCTTGTACCATATATTAAACTATTGGAAAACTGTACTTGAAAGACACGAAATTACCAAGGACAGATAAGAATGGATCGACCAGTTTCGTCATCGTTGGTACTTTTGCGCGTGTCGAATATAAGTCTCGTCTCACGATTGCCAGTAGACGCGTGTTTCCCTAGTAGTGAATCATTTCCAGATGTGTCGACCTTACGGGTGTGTTGTTTCGTACAAATCCGCGGTACAGCGAGTTTTCTCGCCTGACGTTCAAACAAACCGCGGTAACATTATCAACTTCTCGACCCTTTATCAAAAAAAGGTACGCACGAAAAAATTTACACGAATAAGAAAATAATTTTAAAAAATTATTTAAAAATTTTATAATCGAAATCTTATTGACATCATCATATTTGATAGTTTATTAGAATGTTGAAAATGAATTAAGTAATAGATGACAGTTCAAGTGACATAACTTCCTAAAAAAAAATTTTTCTTTTAATTGTATGTATACTTATGTAGATACGTATAATGAAAAAACATTTCCGTCTCTAAAACATTGCACGCACTCTTTTGTTTGGCGCGTAGCATCATTCATTCTGAATTGTCACGTGTCGTGAACAAAAAATATATGAAATTTATCAAATTCGATATTTTTCGCGGAACTAATAAATTGCACAATGCCGTATTATATATACTAATACAGATATGTATTCTAGATAATAATAGTATAATCTAATTGTTTAGCTTTGCAGTTTCGTTTAGTTTTGCTTACGCGTTGTTTTATCGATTATATAGCTATTTACAATATAGACTATTTACATTATATTTTTGTGTCTAACATTAACAATCAAAATTTTTTATATTTTAGCGACTACTTCAAATATGCGTCTTATTTTAATAAAAATTCGCGAGGTATCGCAAAAATACCCGATTGTAAGAGGAATGGCTTCTTACACAGTCATTTGGCCGACAGGATGCTTAATACAACAAAAAATAATAGGACATGACGAATTAAATTATATGCAAGCATTAAGATTTAGTTTATATGGTGGGTTTTTTGTAGCTCCAACACTATATTGTTGGATAAGATGTTCTTCATACTTTTGGCCAAAGTCAGATCTGAAGTCTGCAATTACTAAAGTATACTAAAATTAATTAAAATAATTAACATTTAACAAGATATAATGTTTTAATGGTTAATATTTATTTTTTAGGCTTTAATAGAACAAGTCACATATAGTCCTACTGCAATGTGTTGCTTCTTTTTTGGTATGAACTTACTTGAAATGAAACCAGTGGTTGAATGTATTGAAGAAGTTAAACATAAATTCTGGCCTACTTACAAAGTAAAATATATGTGTAATTAGTATTAAAGATATTCTATATAACCAAAAAATGAAAATAATTTTTATTTTTCAGATTGGTGTTTGCGTATGGCCTGTTTTACAAACAGTCAACTTTTTTTTTGTCCCAGAACATAATCGTGTAATTTATGTAAGTTGTTGTAGTTTAATTTGGACATCTTTTCTTGCATATATGAAATCTTTGGAAACAAAAAAATTACAAAAGGATTTAAAAAGTGACAATAATTTAAAGCAAAAAGATCAAAAAAATATTACTGATCAAAAAGAAGATAAAAATAAAAGAGTATCAATTATACGATAAAGATTTATATGAAAATTATTTAGTTCAATTGATTAATTTATATACATACATATACATATGTAATATGTATGTATATAAATGTATATGATACAATAAATTATACTGTGCAATAATCAATTGCAAAGCCTGTTGTCTACAGTATAAAATAAATCAAAAAATTTTATGTATAAATGTAGATTGTATGTTTGTACAATTAAAAATCACGAAAGTATGTAGAATATAATATTGTTATTAAATTTTCGAGTGATATTTATTGTGATAACAGTGACACTATTGACGACTTATATTTATTGTTGCTAAATGATAAAAATAAATGATTGTTAAACAAATTATTATCTTTTTGTGAAAATAAATTTTCATATTTTAGTTTTAAATTGCATATTTCACTTTTTAAGTTTAACGTATGTTCTTGATATTCTTTCTCGTTTTTCTATCGATTATACATAGTAAATTCAATATGGCTGCGTTGAAGATTAGAAGTTCAAATCATCATAAGTTGTCAAATGCAAGTCAGTACACTTAACAAATGTTATTAATAAAAAACATGTGATTTTCTGTGTACATTTTTAAAAATATGCAATAGTAATCGTGAAAAGTAGCCTGACTACATAAATATAAACATAATAAAACGATATGAGGTTATGATACAAATTAATATATAGTAACTTGAAATTTTGGCAACTTATTTTTTTAAAATACTGAACTTCTAGTGCTGAGATATGGCTCGTTCCTCGATATCAGCACAATGTGATTTAATTGCGTCATATATGGATGGAGTTCACGTTAAAATTGCAGAGGCCTATAAACCTCCACGAAAGATATGTTTACCAGCTGCATACAATAATAAGCTACCGGACGTGTCGAAATTAACTTATGATTTCAATTTGGAACGCTCAGTACTTGAGAAGGTTGAGTATTATTTTACGTCAATTCATGATATACATTTATTTGAAAATGATTTACATTTTACGATGCATGTAAATTTCTCTTTTAACATACATGATTATTAATCCAATTATGGCTCGAATATAAATGTGTATTACTTACTAAAAAGAAAATGAACTATAATTTACAATAATTTGATTTATAGATGACAGAATGGCGTAATGTTAGACAAGCGAATAGCAAAGCACGGCATGCACGATTAGATGAGAAAAGAAAAAAACAAAAAACTGAATTTTCACCTCCACCACCACCTCCATTGCCTGATATCGCAAAGCCTATAAATGCACCTGTGCCTGAAACAACAATTCTTACTCCACAGCCTTTGTCTCCACCTGCCAATGATTTTCAAGGTCATGTAAAAGCAAATGGTCTTGATTTTGCTGATTTTGATAATGATACAAGTAGTCCATTTGATAACATGGAATTAAAAACAATTAATGAAATGGAAGAACTTGCTCAGGTATAGTAAAATATTTTATTATTATAATTGCAAATAGTAATGGCAAATAATAAAGTTAATGCATATTATTTCATATAGGTACTACAGCCTACATCTCAATGGCTACCACCAGCAAAATTAGAAAGTTTATTAAATGATTTAAGTGTCAACGATAAGTCAAAAACTCATATAAAAGAAGAAAATGATAATGTCAAAAATGAAACTATCGATCAAGAGGAAGTTAATGAACAAAAGAATATTAAACATCGTAGTGTATCTGCAATTGTACAAGAGCTTCAAAGAGATTTAAAAAGACCACTTATGGAGGTAATAATATTTTTTTTTATAAAAAGTAATATATCTATGAATGATTCTAAGTTTTAAATTACTTATTTATAATATGTACAACAGAATTGGAAACCTTGGCCAAATTTAGAAAGTCCTGACACAAGCACTCATGAAATACTAAAGCAAGAAGAATCAATGGTAACAAATCAAGTTGCTGTTATGAATTTACTGTTAGATTTAACAGAGGAAGATAAGAAATTAGCTCGACATTTGAACGACATGGGATTTCCTTTATCGAGAGCTGCTCGTGCTATACGCGAATTAGGTGGTCAAGATAATAAAAAAATTGTAGAATATTTATTAGCTGTACAAGCTTTAGAAGAAGTCGGAATTTCTGGAGAGGAAGCTGAAAAAGCTCTTTCTCTTACAGAATATAATCAAGAAAAAGCCAAAGTTTATTATAAAAATCTATGTATCTTACGAGATTTAGGTTTTCCTGAAGAAAAGGCATCTGCTGCACTTCTAAAATGTAATATCGACCGCGATAGAGCTTTAGATTTTCTAATAGCATAATAGAATTTTGTAAAAAGTAATTATTAAAATGGTCTAAACAAATTTTTTACTGCACAAAAAATAAGATTTTAATGTGTAAAATAATTCAAAATTAAAGAGACACATTATTTTAAAAATAATCGCGTAGTGAAAAAATAAATAATTTTTTCGTATGATGCAAGTTCAAAGTACTAGCCATTATAAAATAAAATAATATATGAATGTTTTGATATTAATTTATACTAAGCGTTGCTAAGGGATATCGAAAAATTGATACAAAGCTGATTTCAAACATTAAACTCTTTTTTTTTATGTAATCTATTTACAGGATTATTTAATAAAATATCATTAATTCATACAATGCCAAGAATGCCTGATGATCATATTGGAATGTTTAGAAAACTCAGCTGCACATCTGAAAAATTAAATTTGATATTATACATGGATCTATGTATAATATTTCTCTTACCTTTTACAACAACACAATGCAACTGTTGTTATAGACTCTGTATAATGACTAATGCCTACAATTATCCAAGCTTCTGTAAAAATTGGTTGTTGGCATTGAAAGTTCACACAAATACTAATTGGGCCATTCATTAGCAAACATGAAACGTTAAAATCAAGTTTCTGATAATTTCTTATTGTAATTGGTTCATATTGAACATTTATACTTATAGGTGATACAGAAATATTAAGTGTATGTTTATACCTAAAATTCAGTACCACGCAATAATACTTAAAATAACAAATAATACAAGAAGTAACATAAATAAGTAATTACCTTTCAGTATAAATCTTTCTCAAAGCTAACTCCCATAAAGAAATAACTTTATTTTCATGTATATTATGAACTTTCAAAAGCTGACGTGGTAAATCAATCGTGAAATCAGTATCCTTTTCATGCAATGCATTTATTTTTATTTTTAATTTTATATTTGTACGTAATGTATTGTTTTCACAATGAGTTGTAAAACATCTGTGATTATATATATGTATATATTTATAGATTCAGTAACAAATGCAAATAAATTTGTTTCCGAGAACTTTAACATATTTTAAGATTACATTTGTTGCTAAATTATTTTTAAATTATGTATATCATATACTGTAATGTACATACCCATAGCCCAAAACATTTCTTTGACTTTGGACAAATGAATCTTGAATATGAGCTGTCAACTGATGAACAAGTGGATAAGATAAATAATTCAAACATACATTTGCATCAAATCTAATGCAAGGAGATGATACAAATCCATTTAATGGTAAATACCTCAGCCTATATAAAAATTATTCTGCATAAAGTAAAAGCATTTAATGTTAACAAAAATCTATTGATAATAAACTATTCGATTCACTGAATGATTATTC